GGTTGGAGATCAAGTGGAATGTAAAGAACGAGGATATACGTCAGGAGGTGAGTATAGCAGAAGGAAGCTACTTCCGAAGTGGGAAGGACCATACATCATTACCGAGAGACGTGGTTCAATTTATACCATCAAACAAGGGAACAAAGAGAAAAGAGTAAACGCCAGCCTACTTCAAAAATAGAAGCAGTGGAAAAAAGACGAAACAGTGAGCGAAAACCAAGAGAAGACAGCACCAAGACGATCAACACGGTTGCAAGCTCGGAATTTTGAGGGGGGGAAGAGTGTAGTAGGCGTTGCTGAAAACGACGGATATAAGTAGTATCTATGGAGAGGGTGGCAGGAATCATAGGGAATTACCGGCAATGGGTAAGGTTTCTGCCAAGAGCAACGCAGGGGATAACACAGACGTATTACAGGGGATGCTGCTGATAAGAGTGTACAAAGAGCCAGTCAAGAGCAAATCAAGACAGGAAGAGAGAGGAAGCGAAGACGTTTGCAAATGGCTGCGTTAGTGCAAGAAGTAGCATATGTAACCAGTACCATTCCAATTGCCTAAGACGTACGTTTTCCCGTCGAGTTGTCCTTTGTTTTATCACTGTGAATGGATTTAGGCAATATTTTTTAACTTCTAACTTCACGATAAACCTAACAATCCAGAATGCTTGAAATGCTTTACATGCTTCAGATCAACCTTCACAGACTATAGGGATTGGTGATTTAGAAAACCTGGTTCTGTTTCACATTGGAAAAAACATGAAACCAGGCACCTGTTCAGTATACATAGAACTCATCTTAAGAACATTAGTCAGTGTAGGTGTAGATGCATAAAAATGAGTCCAACTCAAACGTTGACTCCACTGCACTGCGTCAATACTGCAGAGATGCTTATGGTCGATAACTAGTAGACTCATTTATTCTATCTTCAAGAAATTTGGTTCTTAGCTGTGGCTTAGGACAGAGTGAACTGCTATCCAGCATACTTACTAAGTGGTAACTGATTAACTGATAACTTGGTGATTGTTAATCGATCAGCCTAACGCTTTCACAATTTTTTCATGTATTCACGAAACCTACCAGCACTTCAACAACCCCTTCTTTTACACTCCTGTTTAGTTGTTGCCTACCTCCCTTCCACAAGTCACAACTCCAGAATTCTCTATCTCATCAGATAGAAATTCCCACTGACTTTGACTACAGTTTGTTATCATTAATCCTGTGATTCCTCAACTCAATCACTACCTCATTGTTAATCCTGGATTTCAAATCTTCTTTTATTTCTACATATTTGAAGTATGCCATGCCATTATTATTTGTAATACTTCGGTTCAGTTTTAGACAGTTTGCAGCTGATGAAATGCCGTGAAATAGAATGAGGTCATTTTATTCTGTAAATATCTTTGTTCTTGTATCATTCAAGATAAGAATTTCTATCGTATGCTGTCGTGATCGACATACAACTTGCGAAATTATCGACCTGCATCTTTTTCAAGAATACAGATGTCAACATATGAACACACAGAGTTGGTACTTGAAGTTGTGAGGAAACCTGAACCTTGGAATGACTTAAACCTATGGGCGAGAAAGAAAATGTTGAAAACTTATCATACAGTAAACCAGACATTAGCCTATACAGCAGAGCATGGAAATAGTTGAAAAAAAATACTGAGGCTTGTCAAAATCTTTAGTATGTGAAGCCTAATGCATGGAGTGTATGCAGTCGAAATTTGAATTCACCTTTAACTTACATTGGCGTCAGTGATTTTAAGTGAACTATCGAGGACTGTGTGGAAAAACCTATTTTCGATGTTTTTTTTGTTGCACAGGAGCACTGTCTATTGGCCAGTTTGACCTTAACAAATTTAGGCATAATATTTCTTGAAAAAATTAGTGTGTGGTTGTTTTGGTCTGAAATGAATTTCTGTTAAACATTATATGCTTTATTTCAAAATTTATCCAAGGGATTAAGTGTTTCAAAAAGGAAAAACGTATTTAATGCAAAAAAATCATTTGACCAGTAAAATAAGCTCATCCTTATTTCATGACTTATCACAAACTGCAAACAGCAAAAATCAAATAAATAAATAGTGTAGATCGCAATCACCAAGCTCGCCTGGTTAACTAGTTCACCAGTTTGCTGCAAGGTCTTAAGCCCAGATAAAGAGGGAAGGTTTGGCACAGGGCTAACAACCCTACACCGGAAAACCAATACAATACCGAAAGAAACTTCAAAGCACAAAGGAAATCTCAAAAAATTATAATAAACTTATTCGTCACTGGAATCAGGGAGACGAAATGACGCCAGTTGGTGAAAGCCTTCGCGAAGCCAATTGGCCGATATGTCTCCTCTTCTCTGGATGATAGCAAAAGTAAGAATGGGGACGTGGAATGTCAGCACAATGTTTGAAGCTGGCTGGCTGGCTGGCTAGCTGGCTAGCTGGCGAGGCTGCCCAGATTTCATAAGAAATGAGACGATACGGCATAGAAGTGCTACGCTGCGCTATGCACCTACAAATAATGCAGGTCAAGAGGAGAATAAGAGGAAGAAGATGAAGGAATTCTACAGACAACTGCAATCAGTAATGGACAAGACCACACCCCAGATGGTGACATCAAAATTCATTCTAATATCTGACGTGAATGCCAAACTGGGAGCGGACAACACAGGAAGAGAACTCCTCATGGGTTGAGAGGCACTCAGTGAACTGATGAATGGGAGTAGAGAACTGCTTGCAGACTTCTGCACATTCAACAATTTGGTGATTAGAGGCAAAGCAGTGTGTACAAACACAAGAATATTCACAAGGCAGCGACATGGATTTGATTTCACCAGACACCAGGACACACTACACTCCAAATTAGATCGACTTCATCTCAATGTGAAGAAGTTGGAGACGCAGCCAGCCTACTGGACACAAGATCAGATGAAGAAGGGGAGCAGATGTAGGTGGTTCACATCACTCACTATCTAGTGCAAGGAACTTACCCTCACAATCAAGTTGAAAGCCTTCACAGAAGTTGGTGACATGTCACAGTTCGAGTTTAATGCCCAGAACAGAAACTGGAGGACGAAAGTACTAAGGACATCTTCATGTTAGTCAGTCATCAGAAGAAAACGGGAGACATTAGACAACATGTCTGAGGAAACCTGCGTGGAAGAGCACTGGAACTGTTTGAAGGCGATGTGGAAGGAAACCTGCATAGCCGTACTGGGAAGGAAGAAGAAGCGAGTTGAGGAATGGATCTCGACGGACACATTGTAGATGGTGGTAGTGAAGGAGAAGATGAACCAGTGCAGTACAGGGATGAACAACGAAAAGTTGAACTGAACACAACCCATAAAACACTACACTGGACAAGGGAGTGAAGAAGAGTGGGCGGAAAGTCAAAAGACACTTCTACGACACACTCTCAAGTGAAGCAGAACAGGTTGCTGTAGGAGAGACAGAGTGACAGATTTTATGAACTAAATAAATCATTTATCAACCAGTTTTTACATCATATTCCTGCCTACTTATTCAGTTTTCCATTTCATTTTTTTGTTTCAAGTGAATAAGACTGTTGAAACTCTGAATTTTGCGTATTTCAGTAAACTGTCTCTTTATTATAGCTTTACCTTAATTGTCTGTGTATATACGACTTTGTGAGAGTTGGTTTCTATGTAGCTGTAGATATCTATTTTCAGTTATGCATAATATTGTTAATCTTCAGACTGATATGCAGTTATCCGGAGGATATATTACTATGAAAGTAATGATGAACAGTGATTAGAAAAGGAATCCAGAACACACGTTTCGTCCTGCTTGGGACTTGTCAGTTAGATGTGCTATTCTATTCTAATTCTTTTCCCAGTTAAGAAACAGTTTATCTGATCTAAATCAAATGTGGAAATACATTTTAAATGCATCTGTAAATATGATTCATATGCATGAACTTTTATCTTACGTGTTTGTACAAAACACTTAGGAATTAGTTTTCAACCAGACATGTGAAATGAGGTCTCGTGTACACAGGAATCACCTTTTCGTTCTGCTATACAAAACTGGAACTGAAATAATGAAAGTATGTCAGCAGATTCTTAAGGAGGAAATAGTGGTTTTGTCAATGTGAGCACAATTTTGAAATCGAAGCAACCTCATGTTGTTACTTGTATTGTAGAAAGACCTGTCAATTCGGTCCAATCAACGACGGGATAATACAAGAAATAACATTACAATTATACCCATAGCTATCTTGACTTGGGGGCCTAGTCAGTAACGTTATAGCATTTGGAGCGATCAGTCCCAGGTTCCAGTCTTAGTGGGAACAACACCACTCACTGGGAGGCAGGTACATCCAGCTGACGAGTTCTAGGTAAGACGAAAAGCTCATCTTGGATTCCACTGCTAGCCGTTGTCCATCATTATTATGAAGCAATCTCAACTGACCTTTCATAAATAAAACTTCATTTTCTAACCTCCGGTCCAATAAGCCGTGCAAAATGTTTGCCTAAATTATATAACATAGAAAACGACTATTTTAAATCTATATACAGAATCACCTTGCCTATGTTTCTTTTGGTTAGTCCTGTACTCTAGAAGAATAGAAATGAACTTTTCTTTGACCATATCAGTAGTAGCTGTCCTTTATTTCTTGATGACTTTATCATGAAAGCATTTATCGAAGACGATCTTTTATGTTACTTTCTGATCAAGGATCGATAACATCTTTAAATAATTTTCTAATCAAATCAAGTTTATAATTCATCAGGCCACAACTTTCCTCTACTATGTACCACCTACTTGACGTTTTTCCAATGGAGAGGTCGTTTAATAGATGGCGAGCAAAAGTGAGAAAGTCTTCATGCTTAAGTTCCATTATGAGTCAGCAAAAGTTTCTCATACACAATTCAATTACTAATTGGCGGTTGTTGCTTGATAATTTAAGCAAAAATGCTGTATTGTCAAAATAATAGAACATTCAAAAGTAAGGAAGTAAAAGATGAGTCAAATTAGGTTACTTACATCGTTCCCTTGTTAATGGTGATACTAAGTGAAGACCAACACTGGCCGCCCCAGCACTTTCACCCATTAGTGTGATTTTATCTGGATCACCACGGAACCATGCAATATTTTCTTTAACCCATGTGACTGCAAGTAACTGATCCCACAGACCATAGTTACCTATGGATGCATAGTCACCAGTTGATAAAAAACCTGACGGTGAAGAGAAGTGAAAACAGAGTTACTTCTTAAGAGTATTTCTTAGTCATTCGGTTTACTTTAATTATTAATTAACCTAGAGGTAGTATTCATCATGGACTGACATGAGTTGGGGAAGAATTGAAGCATTGGGACGCCTCAGCAGTAAGCACCCACGAACCGGCTAGGGATCGAATTCAGGACTTTCAGGTTTCACGGCGAACGCGTGGCTGAATGGTTAACGCGTTCGCCGTGAAACCTGAAGGTCCTGAATTCGATCCCTAGCCGGTTCGTGGGTGCTTACTGCTGAGGCGTCCCAATGCTTCAATTCTTCCCCAACTCATGTCAGTCCATGATGAATACTACCTCTAAATTAAAAATTCATCTGAAAAATATGTTAACTAGTCGTTAGAAAATGTTTTTTCACAGTCCTATAGGAGTTTTATATCCGCCAGTATAGTAGAATTCATTAGTAACTACATTACAACCAACAAAGTCTTCAAATATTCACCGTTGTGATATGCTCTACTTAAAACAATGAGCATAAGTAGTACGTAAATATCTAGACCACACTTATTAGGAATGAGCTCCAAGTCTGATTTCATCATTATAAAAGTGTTTAGTATGAAGCCTTCAGGAAAAAAGTGTTAACAGTTGATGCTTACTAGTGAAAGTTCTGCAGAAAGAAACCAATAACACTTAAAGGAAATACAGAAAGCGAGCAAAGACACTGGAAGAAAGGAATGACAACTTACTTGGATGAAGTCGAATGGTGGGTCGTTTTACGTTTACAGTATTCATTGTGATTTGCCCGATAAAGGATTCAACCTGCGCATATGTGTTGTTTGTATTAGTGTATGCGATTTAAGTGTATCACAAAACGAGTCACTCCGCTGTTGTTCAAAGGTTTCCGTTGTATTATCGGTTTGTATATGTGTGGCTTTTCGTAATGCTTCATTGTTACTATGTGCATCTTTCAAACAAATCGGTACAAAATTGTACCTGGATCGACTCATTTTAACACTTCCGACGTTTCAGCTACTTCTTTCCTAGTTAGCCCAGTGACTGTAGTTATGAGTAATTTTTGTTTTGTTTATATCTGGTGATGTGCTATTATACAGAAACATGAAAGATATATCGAAGTCAGTGATCCAAAGTAACCTAGGTGCAATTCTCTGTCTTTTGATATTTTTTCAAGTTTCCGTAAATAAATAAATAAATAATTAATTAATTAAAGCGCGAGGCATAATTACATTCGGTGGTGTCTTTTTCACACGTATTTTTACACTTCAAATTACTACAGGATGATCAAAGAGATATTAAATACCGAAGCTAATATCGTGGAGGAATTTCGCTTTCCAACATTTACGACTCCAGTGAACTTCTATTTGCGTTTATGCAAAATAGTAATGCTATGTACTCTATTTTTAAAAGACATTTTTGGGAAATAACTACTGTAGTCGAAGCTTCTGAAATATCGTATGTGTTGGTTATGCATTACCAGGAGGTAAGGAATTAATGTAGAGATGAAACATAGGTATTTTAGTGGATTGTATTTTCGATACAATCTTTAAAACAAGCAACAAGTGTGAAAAAAGCAGGATTTAATGAATTCATAAATTTCAGTAGTACTCGTCAGCTGGATACTCTACATACTTGATTACATATACCGTTAAGCAATGGAAAAGAGCATATATATATATATATATATATATATATATATATATATATATATATATATATATATATATACAACGTAGACTGAGACAAATTTAGGTGTAACAACATAGAAGTGAATAGTTTTTACAGGTCAAATGGTAATCCAGAGGATGGAAATGGGTATTCAAGATTGTTGAAATAGGGATGAGAACTGAATCGATTGAGCGTCGATCACGTCATTGAAAACAAGATAGTTAATAGTACTTATGCAGACAATAAGAAAACAAGGTGTATATTGAGATGAATAATAATGATAACATTGGCAATAGGAATAAGGTTAATTAGACGGAGTAAATCAGGGGAGGAAAACAAATATGAGATGAGTGATAATTAATAGTGAAGAGTAAAATAAGAAAGATCAAATGAGAATAGACAGTGTTGTAATTATTACCATGGCAGATTCAGACTGACTACCATTTCCTTCTGAATGCAAAGTTTTGGTTTGACGACTCGAATCGTGCAGGCTTCTACATATCCAAGCAACTTCTTATTTTGCTGTCTACTGATAACTTTAAAGGACTTATAGGTATCAATATCATGTCTATAGTCCATTTCTATAGAACACTGGAGATCCTTACGTGAGCTTCGAGAAAACAAAGATCTGGTTATTCTCAGTTCTGATAAGGGAGAATGTGTAACTCTTATAAACAAAACAGACTATGTTACAAAGATGCACGAAATTCTCTCTGACAACTCGAAATCCATATTAGATAGTAACGCTAAAGACCAAACATCATATATTGAAAAGCAGATGGTACAGCAACTAAAGCAGCTCCTCAAAGCTAAATGCATAGACGAAACCACATTTAAAAGCATTAAACCAATTGGATCACAGATCCCATAGTTATATGGGCGAGCGAAAATACATAAGCCAGGTGTGCCTTTAAGGCCGATATTATTAATGATAAATTCACCATATCATAAAGTAACCCAGTGGTTATGTGGATTTCTCGAACCATTACGCAAACGTCTGGGAGAACACACTGTCTCTGATACCTTCCAATTTGTTCGAAATCTCACAGATTTTAATAGCACTGGTAAGCATCTTGTTTCATTTGATGTTGTATCTCTCTTCACAAATGTACCAATCGATGAAACCATTGAGTTTATCCGTCCAGAAGCTGGTAATATCCCTATTTCAACAAGTGAGTTGAGAAAGCTTCTAAATCTATGCACCAAGAACATCCAGTTCCAGTTCAACGGACAGTTATTCCGCCAAACCGATGGAGTCGCAATGGGAATCCCTCTGGGTCCCCTTTTCGCTGATTTATTTCTATCCAGCCCGGAAAATAGTAGCTTGAAGCCCCTCATTGGTCAGACGGAACTGTACCAGCGCTATATGGATGACATATTCATTGTATGCAATAGTAATGCGGAGGCAGAAGCACTACTGAAGAGCTTCAATTCATGTCACCCAAACCTGACTTTTACGACTGAGCACGAGGAAAATAATATGATTAGTTTCTTAGATGTCTCATTAGTAAACTACCGATTTAATCTCTGTTCAATCGCAGAAGCCACTGTTGATCATAACATTGTAATCCATTCTGCTTGGAAGTCATTGAGATATCACTCTAGAAACTAACGGTCCTGTGCAATGTACACTAGGGAGAGTTTTTGCTACATTTTTAAAGGTGTGATCATTACAAGTGCAGGAAATGAGACTTCCAATACGCTACCACTATTTATTACCTTTGAAACAATTCTGATACCTGAAAACGCACAGCGAAAATAGTGTCGGAAGTTAATAAATTATACAAAACACCTTATGAATAATTCACAGACGCTTTAGATATTTAGGATATTAGAAAAGATTGGGAGCAGAAATCACAAACGCACGGTTTGTTTTAACAGCAGACATCCTTTCGTAGGAAAAATCTATCCTAAACTTTAACATTTCTTAAAATCTTTTGGTCAATAGAAGTTTGTTCAGTCTCCTAGTATAAATATTCTTCATCACAAATAACTCATTCAATATCTAAGCAGAAAAATATTATATTGACAGCGAAAGAAACCTCCAAAAACCACTTTCTTCAGTAAATTACTTTTTCCCCACCTGTCTTAACATATTTTTCAGGCATGAATATGGAAATAATCGCACGAGCTAAGGTAGTTAGAACATTTGTTCTCTTAAGGTTTTGTTATGCAAGAAAGGTCTGTTGGGTAGTGATAAGACAAAAAGTATTTACGTTATATAACCGGGCTCTTAGGATGAAGTCGTACTTCTGGCTGAATGGTGTCTGGCAGCCTTAAGCTGTTTCCCTTAGATGAATAGCAACACCAGCTAATGCTGCCTTTCAATCGGAAAGTGAGGTTAAAACATTCCAACTCCAAAAGTAGCATACACACCCTGCCATGTAATTTTCTGGGATTGGATTTAAACTAATAAAGGTTAAATCTCATACTTCCAAAAAAAAAATGCGCAACCAGCCTCAAGTAGATGCCCGATGATCTCTGCCGTCATACACCACTGTAGTAAGTAATTTTTAAGTTAACTCAAGAAGTGAACTTTCACCTAGCGAAAAACCGAGCAATATCAATCCCTTTCACAATTTCTTCAGCACCCAAGTTCTCTCACATCATTCTTGACCTTCCACATCTTTGTTTCTTATCTTTCTTCATCTTTGTCTGTGAATATTCCTACCCCATCATAATGTACTTCAGTTCTGAAGAGCTTAATGGTGGTCTGAGTTCACAGAACCGCATCCTTGATCTCCCAAAAACGTGCTTCAAACTGCACTTTGAGGCGTTCATTGTCCGCATCCTTCATGCAATTGGTCAATAAGTTTCGTCAGCCATGAGTCTAACATTTTGGGTTTTTGACTTGTGCTGCATCTGTGAGGTATGTACATGTGACCTAAGTGCGGCTGCTTAATTAACCAAACTCGGCCAATATCGTGCATTTGCGAAGTTCACCCATTTGAATTTCTAGGTAGTCGAGGTCTAGTTTTCGTAGGCTTGAATGTGTACATTTAGAATTAAGTTCCAAGGTAGACAGTTCACTGCTCGATTGAATTCAAGTTGACAGCTACCTGTACTTTATTCGAATGAATGGTGCAATGTGGATTTAAAAGAATAGGTAAACTTGTTGTTATCTGTTTACAATCTCCTATTATTCATCCTCTGACCTCAATTCAGGTGAAGTTAAGGATGATTTCTACCGCTGTAACCTACTTAAAGTGAAACACTGAGAGGTGGTTTTCATAGCAAGCTATTCCGATACAGAAGTAAGTGAGAAAGGCCAGACAGAAAGGCCCTTAGATAGCACTTTCGGAATCCCAGCTGAGCGAACGGAT